TACATTCAGTTTGAATTTTGCAGAGTAAGACATTCGCTTATTTATTTTTTTATTTTCCGACATCTTTATGGGGTCAGAATGCTCTGACATTACCAATCACTGTTGCATCTGCGCACTGCCTACATGCTCTCCACCTCCAACGGGATGTGTTCCAATTGGTTTGTTCGGCATCAGCTGATGTCAGTTACATAAGGCTCGTGATTGGAGGAAGCCTGTTTGCAGAGACAACGTATGGGCAGTTTCGCAACCACGTGGTTCTATCCTTGGCTTACTTCCTTGCATAAGATAACCTTCAATTTTTAGTGTAACGATTTTAGAAAAAAGTATCGTCTTATACATGGTAAAATACGGTAAACGTGTAGCTCTCTTCATCCTACATACTGTAATAAAATGGAGGCATAATAAAAAAAATGGATCTAAAAAAATTGTGTCTTTTTTTTAGACCAAGAAGGTGAAAATATTGCAGAAACTATTAAAGCCTATGAAGCTAAAGTTCAGCAGTTGGAACGAGATCTGTTTTTTTACAAGAAAACCAGCCGAGAATTAAAGAAGAAATTAAAGGAAGTTGTTGGAGAATCAATATACCACTCTCTGAAACAAAGTAAATGTATGAATATTACAGCTATAAATCATAACATAGCTAAAACTTAGTAGTAATTCAGATTAAGAGAAAAATTCCCATAAAGCATAATGGGTTTGGATTGCAATGTTATATGTGTAGATACAGGCAGTATGGACTTTTTAATGTTTGTTTTCCTTATAATAGTTTTTAAATATATACTTTTTTTTTAAGGCAAAAGTTAAATTTTAGCTTTCAGATAACAAATCAGGATTTCAGATAAGAGATCTTTAATTTTCACAAATCCAGTGTCTGGTTTTGATTTTAAATTCCCACTAATGATTGTCCTTTGGAAAGACATAGTGGTAGTGGCAGCATAGCAGACTGCAGGGACAATCTCTGAAAACTGAATCTGGTCTGTGTCCCTCTGACACATACACACACATACACACACACACTCCGCTAATGAAAGCTTCTTCAGATTTAGAGTCCTTTCCATAAATAAAAGGGTAATGCAAGATCCAAATGACAATGTTCTACTTTATTAACTTTTAACTGCACAATCAGGTTATTTTACAATAACAGGAAATAGTTGAATCAACTCAAATTTGTAACAGTAAAAAACTGTAATAGTCATCTTTAAGCATTTAAGTTAATTGTTGCTTTGAATATTCCATTTTAGGTTATGCTTCTACTGATGGGATGCTAAACCAAGAAGAAACAAGTGTCTCTTCAGAAGAACATGGATGGACAGCCAAAACAGTAGGGAAATTAAAAGAAATAAACTGCATTGTAGGTGGTATAAGAACACAGCAGACTTCGCCAGAGACACTTGAAGAAGTTGCAGAAACAATAATCAGTACCCCTAGTAATCGTGAGGAGCCAACAGGAAAAGTACAACACTTCACAAAATCTCATTCACAAGCATTTAGTCACTCTCAGACAAGCGACCCAGCGACCCAACTTCAAGGAATAACTCCAGTAAAACTTTGTCGTAAAGAATTACGCCATATCCCAGCTTCTGAGCTGTCATCAAGGCGAGCTGGTATAAATTCTGTTGCTATAGATTCCATTGAAATGCCTAGAAAATCTCATGACCATACTATATAATTCAGATGACAATTCAGAAAGTAATTTCACAATTTCTTATTTTTCTAGGTTATTTCAGGAAGTTATGTTTTTGTGAATTATTGTTAGCAGTTATGCTTCAGCTTGGTCTTTCATTTTGTCATAAAGAAATCTTATTTCTTTTTGGCATTGGCGTGGTGTACATTAATTTTGCCTTTAAAGATTTTTTTTACTTATATTTTTATTAACATGGATTTTTATTCTTTCAGTACTGTACAGCATTGTACTGTTCTGTAAAATGAGAGCTGGTTGACACAATCCTGGCAGCATAGTTAGGAGAAAAAACAAAGTATAAAAACAAAGTACTCAATACTTTCCATGATTATGAAAAAAATCACCATGGTACAGAAAAGGCTACCACTATATTTGTGACTGGTAATTTATAGACAAGTCAATTGCCCAGGCACATATGTAGATATGGACAGTGTACATTAAAGTATAAATGTCCTTTAAAAACTATTTTTCTAAGCTATTAAGTGGTTAACAAAAGGAAAAAAATGAAGATCCTTCCTTGCTAAAATTTACGTTTAAAATAAATACAGGCTTACATCTCAGATGCAAACTTTATCAATAACTTATTTGGCTATAAAAGTCATTTTTGAATTAGGCCTGGAACTGTTACCAGTATAATTTTTATGGAAACTATTGTCAAAGTAAATGCTTTTATTCTTATATGCTACATTAAATCTATTTCGGTGTTTGTTTATACAGACGGGGATGTACTTAGTCAATTGAATCTGTTCCTTTAGGTATAATAAAAAGTGACTTTGCTATGTCAGGGAATATCTGTAAATTCCAGCGTTTAACCCAACTTTAGGTTAAACACTGCTAGTTAAAATAAAGCCAGAGACTCTTGCAAATCCTTTCAAAATATTTTGATCCTGAGTCAGTCTTCTAGGAACAGAACTTCTTCGTAGAAGCCACTCAAGTCCAATAAAAGCTCCTGCTGGTGAAAGGGGCAGAGGTAAATGTTGATTTCCTTTTCCCTCTGCAGTTCCTTCCTGGCAGAACCTATTGTTCCAGAGACTCTATAGACTGTACCAGATTTTCAGATATCCTTTTACCAAGAAATCTATTTCTCTGTGAGTGGGATATTTGTGTGTGTATGTGTGTAAGGAATTTTACAACCAGAAATACACATGATCTCTGAAATGCATTTTTAGAGGCATTAAATACTATTTTAAAGCCCAAATCATCTGAAAAGGTGTAGTTGCTTGACATACTGATTCAGTTCAGAGCACATGGAATGACCAGTTGTGGTAATGCATGGAGACTGCTTACCTCTATTTGGCTTTTCCTGCCCACAGTAGTGCTTAAGCTTGGGAATTTTTATCTACACTATCATTTTATCCAAACTCAGCTTTCAGAAGCCAGAATTGTAAACCAGGCTTATTAAGAGAGGAACACCCTAAGATATCTGCTTGGACAAAAAGTTAAGGAATAATGGATAGCAGTCCTGTGTTTAGGTATTCCCACTGAAGAAGAAACAGAGTTAGAGTACAATGCATCAGCAAGCTTGCTCAAACCAGATCATTGTGTTAGTACTGAACTTTGAAATAACTTGATAGTGAAATGATAGTGGCAAGACATTTTTTTCTTAACTGCATTTTTCCTGTTGTTTTGTTGAGTGTTTTTGTCTATGGTCTGAGATTGAAAACTTTCAAACTTAGTGTTACATTTTATATTTAGAAATTTGTAAATCCAAATACACTGCTAAATATGAGGTTGTAATGTTTCCTTTCTTCAACAACATTAGAATAATTAATGATTGAAATGAGAAATACATGTGCAGCCACTATTTTAATTGTTTTTCTTGACATAGACACACAAACACACATACACTGTGCTTTGTTCTTACCAATAGGAAACTGTGGCCAATAACAGCTTGGCCTGGGCCAAAATAATTGTTCAGAGTTATGTGTGAGTGCAGTAATTTCCATGCATCAGTTTTGTTTACTAAAAGTAGTATGTACATTGGTGCCTAGAAACTGGCAGCAGCAAATTCCTTTTTAACAGTAAGGATACCCGTTTCCTATAATAGAGTTCTAATGAAATGTTTACAGATGGATCCCATTCGTGCTTATTGGAGAAGCTCATTGAACTCAATGGTGATTCCCAAGTAAAAATGTGTATGGTTGCAGCCTTAATATATTTATTAAGAAGTTGAGGAAAGAATCAGACTACCTTAGCAATAGGAATTATTTTGTGGATAGTGGCAAGGTCTAGACCAGGGGTTCTCAAAGTACAGCCCACGGGCTGGATACGGCCCGCCAGGGTCATTTATCTGGCCCGCCCACCTGATTGGCCGCCGCTGCTGTCTGTCGGGGCTGTGTCGGGGCTATGTCGGGAGCTGCAGGCGATGCATGAGGGGGGAGATCACAGAGCCGGACTATTCTACATGACAGGTATGCCGGGTCCGGCGGCTCTCCTCCTCTCCTTGTACTCCGCGGGAGGGATCCTCTGTGCAGGGTGATCGGTGTGTCGTTCTCCAAGCTGCTTGTGTCATTCTT